CATGTATAAAGAGCTAAATTGGGTGGGGAACCTGAGGCCTGGAGGCCACCTGTGGCCTTCTAGACCCTCAAGTGCAGCCCTTTGACAGAATCCAAACTTCACAGAACAAATTCCCTTAATAAAAAGATTTGTTCTGTAAAGCATGGACTCAGTCAAAAGGCAGCACCCAAGGACCTAGAAGGCCACTCACGGCCTTGAGGCTGCAGGTTCCCTATTTCTGAGCTAAAACAAACCTACTAGGCAGGTAGCTGTCTCAGTGGGTAGAGTGCAGGGCCTGGAGTCAGGAAGACCTGAGTTCAAATGTGGCCTCAGATACTTAACTGTGTGGCTCTGGGCAGGACAAAAGGAGACAACAGGCAGACAACTGTGCACAAATAAGCTGTGTGTACAAAATAAATTGGAGACACTCTCAGAGGGAAGGCACTAAAATTAAGGAGGACTGGGAAAGGCTTCTTGTAGAAGGTGGGAACCAAGCTTTGGCTTGAGGGAAGGTGGGGAGGCAAGGAGACCAGGTGAGGAAGGAGAGAATTCCAGGCATGGGGGAAGAGACAGGATAATGTCTTGGAGTCAGGAAGTATTACCAAGGAGGCCAGTGTCATTGTATTGCTGTGCTCATGGAGAATGAAATATAAGGAGACTGGAGAGGTATGAAGGGGTCATTTTATGAAGGGCATAAAGGCCAGAAGACCTTATATTTGATCTTTTATTTAATGAGAAACCACTAAAGTTTACAGAATGGGGTTGGGGGGAGAAGAGGACTTGGTCAATCTTGCACTTTAAGATGAATTTGATGGACGAGTAAAGTATGGACTGGAGAGGGGAAAGACTTGAGACACGGATACCAACCACTGGGCTATTGCAGTAGTCCAGGCATGAGACGATGGGGCCTGAACCAGAGTGATGGCAGCGTCAGAGGACAGAAGGGGGAATATACGAGAGATATTATGAAGAGAGAATTGACAGAACTTGGCAACTGATTGGATACAGTGGGTAAGAGGGAATGAGGAGTCAAGGATTACACCTAGTTTGCTCTAAAAACGTTATGTCATTGGGCCCTACTATAGCTCTGTGAGGTAGGTAGTATTATTACTCCCTTCTTATTGATGAGCAAACTGAGGTCAAAAGGGATTAATTGACTTGCTGGTAGGTACCTGGAGTGAGATGTGCACAGATGTGCTACTGAGATGTGATAAAAGCAAAGGAAAAGAGGATTGCAGGATGAGAAAAAATATAAAGTTAGACTGGTCATAATCTATAAGTACAGGATCAAAATTTCAAAATGAGGAAAGTGAGGCCAGAGCTCACAGTGAAGATAAAGATTAGTTGGAAAATTCGAGGCACAAGAAGAAAATGAAGACTAGGATAGAATTACAAGACTAGAGGAATTACAGAGTTCTGGATTGTGGTGGCAGAACATTTGTACGTGATGATGAGGTTGAGTGTATGAAAATTTCTACATGTAGGAGTTAGAGGTAGAATGAAGGTGATGGTGGTCTTTGGAGGTCAGGAGATCAGATATTTGAGGTGACATCATACTGAAGTATATTATATGTTAAAGTCTCCTAAAAGGGAAAGTGATGGATGGCAGAAGAATATCGAACCAAATGTAGATTTCCTTGAAAAAGGAGAAATGATGAACTGGGGACAGGTAGATAAATTCCAGCAGGGACTATATAGGGTCATATATAATGGATTGAATGAATCTCAAAGGAAGAGAGTTTGATGGATGATGGCAGCAGAGAGAGTGTCTAAGCAACAAGGAATATGTCCTACTTGTGTCTCATTGTGTCAGTGGGCATGAAAGAGGTGGCTACAAACTAAATGTCTGTTAGGTGAAACCAGGTTTCTGTGATTGTAAGGCACAGAATGTGAAAAGAAGATGTCTAATACAAAGGAGAGTTTACTAACAACAAAATGGTAGCATCTGGAGGACACGCAGAGCTGGATGGAGACAAGGGATCAATGGAGAAGACACAATAAATTATGTTAGAACACGTATGGTAATGTGGAAGGCTTATTCACGTCCACTTCTTTATTTTATTACAAGTCTGGATGTCTTCAGCTTGATTAAACTATAGCCTCCTACCTAGCAGAATTATTATTTTAGACGATGGTACACAATAAAAGAAAGGAAAACTAAATGAGATATCACCAAAGTAAGAACCAACTCAGCAAAAAAAAAAAGTAGTCTTTAATATCCGTATAAATGGAGGGAAAGGGGAGGCAGAATGTGAGTTTCAAAGTACCCTTTTATCAAACTTTTTATTTATAACTTTTACCAAAAATGTTTATTATATCTAAGAGCAAGGGACTCACTATATTAAGCATATTATTGGACCCTGGGACTCCCAAGAATTCCATTTTTCTAATGTTGTATTTTATTCTATCAGTACCCTATAGCAAGGAGTTTTGAAATTATACAATTAAAAATGTAGTATGATATAGGCAAAACATTAAAATGCAAGAACATTACAGAAATAAAAATCAATAAATTCCACTTTCATCATAAAGTCACCAGATGGGGCTGTAAGCTGCCAAGCATTTCCAAAAAAGAAACAGGTAAGAAAGGATTTTGATTCTGTGCTTCTCTAGGGGAAAAGTAGGTCAGGAAGCTCTTCATTTCTAATTTGAACTTTATTCGTTAACAAGGGGTTTAAATAGGTAAGCCTATCAATTATTTATCTGTTTATATTAACTGCTTAAAAATCCCAACAAAATGACAGAAATATGGTTCTCAGGTAATTAGCCCCCCCCAAATCTTAATTTCAATATGATCACATTCTATTGGTGCTGAAGGAAAAGCATTTATTCTACTCATATTTCTAATTGTGTTCTGTTGCTCCAATTTTAAGTTAATACTTCATTAAGGAAAAATGTTATCACTAGGAAGCAATAGCTAATTCCAAGTATTCTGTGGTATACTGTTTTTTCAGTTAATACAAAACTTTACAAAATTAGCCCCCCTATTTATGTTCTAAGATGCCTGCTTCTTTCATTTAACAGAAAATAAATTTTTTGACTCAACTATGGCCTTTTAGTTTGCCAACAATAATGGAAGTTCTCTAAAGACATACTAGATTTTTAAAAAAGCTTTTAGCCTTTTCAAGAAAAGACTTTAATAGACAACTGTTGAGAAATAAACCTTATGATTAAAAAAACCTATCCTTTCAGTTGGTTTTAATATTTTTTCAATCACTCAATCAACAAGTATTTATCAAATACTTGTTACTTGACAAGCATTGCGCTACACTAAGAGTATAAAGACAAAAGTAAAACATTCCCTGCCCTTAAGGAACTTACATGGGGGAGAGGGGAAAAGGTGCATGGAGTCAAAAACAAACCGATACAGGCATATACAAAACAGATATGAGTCAATCAGCAACAAGCACTTAGTAGGCACTTACTATGAGCCAGGCACAATGTTAATACTGTGTACAAAGTAGATTTAGGGGCAGGGGAGAGAATGCACTATCATTTAGGATGACCAGGAAAGGCCTCAAGAAGAAAGAGATACTCAGCTGAGTCTTGAAGGAATCTTCAGATTCCAGGAGTCAGAGGTGAGGAGGAAGAGCGTTCAAAGAAGAGCAACCAACATAAAGACATGAAGACAGGAGATGAATGTCATGTGTGAGGGGCCACACAAAGGTCAGTAGGGCTGGACTATAGAGAACATAAAAGGGAAATAACATGGAATAAAGCTAAAAGGTAAAATGGAGCTAGCGTATGAAGTCATTTTCAAAGTCAAACGGTTCACATTTGATCCAAGAAAGGAAAGAGAGCCACTGGAGTTTATTTTACTGTGGAGGGGGTGGGACATAAATGGCCAGACCTATACTTTAGGAAAATCACTATCATGGTTGAGCAGACTGCAGGTGTCAAACTCTTGGTCCCAGGACAGCCCAAACCAGATTAAAACGTAATTGGGAAATGGTTAACAAAATAAAAAATGCAACGCGTCGCAGACATTATTTTGTGGTTGTCTAAGCATTTCTATTTGACATTGACACCACCGAAGTGGAGAAAAGATTGGAGTGGAAAGGGACCTGAGACAGAGACAATTGGGAAGTTATGTAATAGTCAAGGACTCTAGGTGAGAGGTGATGGAGCCTGAACTTGGTTTGGCAACTATATAGGGGAAGAGAATATGTACAGGAGTGATGTCATGCAGACAGAAACAACACGCCCTGGCAACTGATTGGATATATGAGGTGAAGGAGATTGAGGAGTGGTTGTGAACCCGCATGACCTGACAGAAATAGGGAAATTCAAACTGGCTTGTCAGGCTGAGTAGCGAGGTTAGGGAGGAAGACAGCGAGTTCTGTTTTGGACATGCTGAGTTTGAGATGCCCCAGGAACATTTTATGAGGTGTGATCATAACGTATCTTTTTAAATAGCCAGTCTTAAATATATTTGGGTATTGGTTACTTAATCAATATAACCCAGTGTTTCTCATACTGTAGTGGTTCATAAAGGAGTTCTGGGGATACTGGAGAGATAGGCTCTACAGAACTCCCAACATGTAGCTGTAACCATCGCTCATTCATAGACACATATGAGACTAATTAAATTGATTTCTCACCCACGTCTGTTGGGTTTTGCTCTAAAGTACCTAGATAAGTACCTAATATACAAAAGAAACAATATGTTGTGCCTGTACATATTTATTTGATGTTAGAATTGGTCTATATGAGAACTCTTTAAGACTCAAAAGGGTTAAAAGAAAAATCTGAAGAGTGGGAGGCTAAATAGCAGTTTTTCTGACTCATTTGACAACCCACTGAAGTTCTTCTGTTTTAGAATATGTAATAGTCTGGGAAAATCTCAAAAGAACTTGTTAATTTTATTTAATTTCATTTAACTATGCCAAACTATTTTCAATGTCTGTTTTGTTCCCCTTCTCCCCTCCTAAAAAAAAATCTCAGAGAATTGTCTTCCAAAAAATGCTAAACCATAATGTTTTATCTTGAAATTAAGTGCACTGACAATCAAAGATACTTACTCAGACTACTTAGTTGTCTAATTATATTTGCCAAGGAGATATTGGTTACACATTCCAGTTCATTCTTAATGCCTCTGGGCAGTGCTGTATGGCACAGGTGCCTGGGGTCAATATTTCTCTTCACTAATGGCATTCCGAGATGAATCTATGTGCCAACTCACCTGGGAGGAATGAAATACAGTTAAAGAAGATGATTCACACATCAAAACTCAAATTTTCAATCACTTCTGAGTAATGCTGTCTTTCATATGCAAATGAACAATGATAATCTTTGCTTGGAAGAAATGCATGAATTTGGATGTTCATCTATCCAAAAAAAATCAGATGAGATCTTCTAACTTGGATTCAAGTCATTTAAACTGAATTCAACTTTTATTAAACAAGATATTGCACTAGGCATTGTGGATACAAAAGTAAAAAATGAAAGTCTCTTCCTTTAAGGAGCTTTGAGTCCACCTGTACATATACAAATAAGTACACAGAAATTTGAGGAGGGAAGAGGATTGAAATCTGAGAAAATCTGGGAAGATAAAGGATTCTAAGTGGCAAAAGTGAAGAGAGACTGTATTCCAGGAATGAGGACAGCTTGTGTGAAGGCAAAGAGATGGAGATGGAATTCCGGATTAAGGACGAACTGGTGGACCACCTTGACTAGAAAACACAATGTGTGAAAGGAACTAATATGCAATAAATATGGAAGGGCAGGCTGGAGCCACATTGTGGACGACTTTAAATGCAAAGCTAAGGAATCTGTATTTTATTCTAGAGGCAACAGGGAGCCCCTCAAAGATTTTTTAAGCAAGGTAGACACACAGTCAGATCTGTGCTTTACTTAAGAAGATTATTTTACATCAGTTCATATATGTCTTTTCATGTGTCATTGAAATAATCTATTTCCTCTTTTCTTATGGAATATTAGTATTTCATTATATTCACAGATCACAATTGGTTCAGCCATTCCCCCACAGATGGGCATCTCCTTACTTTCCAGTTGTTTGTTTTTGCTTTTTTCTTTTTTTTTTTCTGCTACCACAAACAGGACCCTTTCTCCTTTCTTTGGTGTACTAGACTAACAGTGACTCATGATGAAGTGTGTTATTCATTCCTGACAGAGAAGTGATGGAGTCAAGATACAGAGAGACATCTATTTTTTTGCACATAGCCAATTTGTTTTGCTTGACTATGCACATGTGTTACAAGGAATTTTGTTTTCTTTTTTTTCCTCAATAGGGTAAGAGTGAAAGGAGAAGAAATAGATTTTTTTTAGTGGAAATATATTTTTAAAAGAATGTTATTTTGGCAGCTGTTTAGAACTGATTAGAGAAGAAAGAGAATGAACCAGGATAATTCTCAATAATTGCTAAAAAGTTTCAACATTACTGCTGAACACAAAACCTATTTGTTACTTTCAATATTCTATGAATTACTATTGTTAATTAACTCTGTGACCCTGAGCAAGTCACTTAGCCATTTTTTCATCTCATCTCATCCTGGTTTCCTGACTATAAAATGGGAGGTGGCTAAATGAAGTGACTGCTAAAATCCCTTCCAGCTAGAAAGTCCTAAGACTTTAAGAATGCATAACAATTCATAATCTTATCATTCTAGTCACTATCAGTGACGTCCTTTCTAAGCTAACTTATTTTCACTTATAGTACACAAAAGGAATGATCTCAGGAGTTGGTGTGAGATTCTTCCTAAAGGAAATGCTTCACAATCATGTGACAGAGAAATTCAAGCAGCTATGTCAGAAGTATAAAATTTAAATTTCTACATGAATTATATTAACACATCAGTAGTATAAAGAACTACTGTTAAGAGTTTTACACACTTTTAAAAAATACATAAAACCTAATCTAATATTTCTTTAATGGAACAAAAAATATTCAAATTTTCCCCTAGTTTGCTGCATATTTCCCAAAGGTTCACTAAAGAATAATTTGTGAATTACTAAAATTTTAGTGACACTAATTAAATGCCAAATTAGATATTCTGAAAACAAGGTCAAGATAGAGTTGAGTTCTCTAGTGCATTAACAGAAATCACTACTTATTAACTTAACCCAAACCTCCCTAATCCTTTTCCAAAGGAATTACAAAATGGTAATACTGGAGTAAAATTACCCTGCTTAGATTCTCACACAAGTTCTAGGATAGATTTTTCAGCTATGGGTCTTAATCTCTCCATCAAATGTCAGGGGTTTGAACCTGAGTTTCAAAGACCCCTATGTTCTTGTAAAGCATGCCCAGGACAGGAATCAGGAAGACAACAATCTTGTTTTCCAAATGAAAATAACATTTGTAATACTGTGATATTGCAAACATCAAATGAAATAATATTTGTAAAGTATTTAACACAGTCCATGGCACACAGTAGGTGCTTAATAAATGCTTATTCTACTCTCCTTCCAGTTTGTAACTATTTTTTGATGATGTAACATAAAACTTGACACAAAATAGACCAACAGTTGTCAATCTTCTTTCGCTCGACATCACAGTGTTCTTTGGCCTGGGAAGTCTAAGCACATTACTGGAGAATTAGAGACATTGGTGATGAGATCCCAAGTGTGTTTCATACAATTTCCAGCATTCTTAGGGAAACTCCAAGCCATTTCTGAGAACTCCACTGAAGTAGGCTCTTAATAAATGTTTACTGAACGAACAGCAGAACTATAATTATTTTGCTTCTGGGTTTTTGAAGAATGATCTTCAGACTGAATTAGATATAGCAAAAAATAGCTAACAAGGAGTTGAAACCCAAGAAAAGTAAGGAGATGGTGAAAGAATATGTTACCACTTCAAGAAATTCAAGTCATGGGCCACATAAGAACTACCAGGGAATTGCTGAGCCAATGTCATAATCTTTCACAGATTGAGTCAAATGGACAAGGAACCTGAGGCTAGCTATTAAGAGAGAAGAGCCCGGGGTGTGTAAATGATTGGCTGGTGAGTTGGCTTTGTTCCTGGAAAAATTCTAAACTACATCTTGAAAGGGATCACCTGGGAACATTTAGAAAAGAAAAGCAGGGATTATTGGTTTCAAGAACTATCTTCTTTTGTGATAAAGTTAATAGATTGGTTGGACAGGAAAATGTTTCAGCAAAGGATATGTTAATGTTCTTCACGAACTCTTTATGGGCAAGATAGAGAGAAGTGAGGTGGATTTACATAACTGGCTGAACATGGGATCTACAGAGCACACGTCATTAGGTTAAGGCTTACTTGAAGAGAGATTTCTAATGAAGTAGTGGGCCTCATAAATTTGTCCTTAGCCCTAAAAATACTTTTATCAGTAACTTAGGTAAAGCAATACATGGAAGAAACCTACGAATGGAGATTAAAATGTTAGATAACAGAACCAGGACAAAAAAGATCTTGCCAGTCTGGAATAATGGTTTGAACTGAACGAGATGAAACTTCGTAGGCAAAAATATAGTTATCTTTGAAAACATCATGGGAAAATAATGATGTTAATAAGATGAGTTTTGGTTTGGTTGGGTTTTTTTTTTTGGAGGGGGGTCTGGATATGGTTGGACAATTACTAAAAGAGTTGTATAATTTCCTAAATACATGATATTAAAATATACTTAATTACCATTAGTATAAAATTATTTTAGTTATCATTAAAACTACCTTTACTATTTAACATTAGAATATACTGTAAAATATTAAATAATGCTTCACAATTGTTAAGGCAAGAGTTTTCACCTTGAGGTTCAAGAACTTGTTTTTTAAATATCTTGAGTAACATAATTAGTTTCCTTTGTAATTCTATAGATTTTATTTTATGCATTTAAGAACACTGGACTGCCAAAAGAGTCTGTGACGTACAAAACAAAACAAAAAAACTCTTACACTAAGGGATCTTCTGCTGATTCGTGAAATGAAAAGTTCTTAAACATGAAAAATCAAGGGTCAGACAAACATCATAACTGAATGGTTATGTGATGCTGTAGAAGTCAAAACATATAACTCCAATTCTTATTTTCAGATTTTAAGGGCTAGCCTGCAAAATTATAACAAAAGGACTCTTAAAATAAATAGCTTGCAGGAAAATGTAAACGAATGCTTTAAAAAGATTCATAAAAATCAAATGAGGATTTAGGCTGCTCTTCTAGACTGCAGACAGAGCAAAACTATAACCACAAATATTTTATTACTATATGTAACATCAAAAAGCAACTGATGACTTCTTAAACTTAACTCTTTGATGAGCTAATTCACCATCTACTGTCACTTTCAAAAACATTCTGGAATTTTGTCATCAAACTGTAATAGCATAATGCAATTTTATCATTTGTCCTAGCACTGTAGAATCAAAAGTTAAATTATGGGGGAAAATATATTGCTTCTAATTAAAACAGATCAGTATCACTTGATTCAGGTGTGTTTTTAAAAGTACCCTAGCTTTTGTGTAGAAACTAACGCTTTCAGTTTTTTATTACAAATTTCTTAGTCCACAAGAGGTGAGCCTGCTTAATTATACAATTTACTGAACAAGTAAATGTGAATTTTCAATCTCAGAATGTTTAAAGAAAAATATGTTCTTCAATGAGAACTTAATAGCTCCGGTACATGAACTCTATGGATGACAAACTTCTTTGAGGTCCTGACTACCAATCTGGAACTAATTTGAAACTGAGAACACAAATACATGAAATAAATACAATACATGAAATAAATACATCTTTAAAAGAATGAACACTATGATATTTTAGTTTATTTCTTGAAGAAAATATACTTGTTTCACAGATTTTTTTTTTAAAAAATTGGTTTAATTCTAAATATGGAAATTACAGCATGCTTGACAAGACACTGAAATGTCAACTTTACAATCTCTTACTAAAAAAATGCATGCTACTGTGCACATAGAAGGATCTATTCTCACTGTACGGTAAAAAATGAAATGAGGAAAAGACACCTGAACTTACCAGCCACCAAGCCACAGAAGGTCTGATGACACACACCAGGTGTATGTATCAATCCCAACTCTGCTACAAGCATCAAACTTCAACTGTTCATTAACTTTACGAATCCTACACACAGAAACAGAAAATAAGCCAACCTAGTCAATCCCTAAGCTGTAACAGTATGAACCATCCTGAACATCTACAGACACTGGACTGCTTTGAAGTGATCCAGCCCTTTCACAAAGAGATTAGAATTCAACACAGGGACTCACCTTCACAACAGAGCTATCTTTACAAAGAAGACACAGAAGCTATAACCTCTCCCATATCCCTGGGTGACCAGAACCTTTCTTCCTTCCTCAGAAACTTGAAAGAAACACCCTGCAGGCAAACTGATTAAGAAATAATTACAGATGCCTTTGGTTCCAACACACGATGACTAAATATTAAATTTTGAGAAGCCAGAACTGAGAGGAGTAACATTGCTATATGACTACAGCAGAAAGAAAAAATATGATAGAAGCAATAAACCACATGGTAGATTTGCAGCGTATCACATTAGTATGTTAGATCAGTGGATCACATTAGTATATTAGTAGTTAGAGAAGGAAGTCGATGCTAATAAAAAAAGTCATGACAGACAGCTCTATGATAGATCGGAGATTCAGTACAGTCAAGTTGGTGACCAGATATCTAATAAAGAGGAGTAGCTAGTTATGTAGTTCCATGTTTATCTAAAGGTGAAGGGTAATTATTTCAAAATAATACAATTGCCATATCAAACTTGGACAAGCATCATAGTCATAAAACCCTCTAACTTTTTATGATATAGAAAAAGATAATACTTTGCAAACTATTTTTTTGCAAGTACATCATAAATACAGGTTAACTCAATAGAGAAAACGATACCAATTTTTAAAATGATATTTAAGTTGTGATACATTTTAATATTAACCATTATACAAAGTCACTGTCCAAAATTAAAGAATTACAACTTACCAAAAATAATCAGTTAATGATCACTGCTAATAAAAACAAATTTTAAATGTGCAAATCTATTAAATGGACTTTTGTGCATATGTGATGTATAGGTAACTATGTGGTGCAGTGGATAGAGCACTGGGCCTGGCGTCAGGAAAACCTGAATTCAAATATGGCCTTAGACACTTACTAGTCATGTGACCCTGAGCAAGACACTTATCCATTTTTGTCTCAGTTTCCTCACCTGTAAAATTAGCTGGAGAAAGAAATAGCAAACCACTTCCAGTATCTTTGCCAAGAAAACCCCAAATGGGACCATGATGAGTTGGACACAACTGAAATGACTGGACAACAAAAAAACATTATGTGAAGATAGTGCCATTGACAGTAAATATTGTGGTTGCTTTTCATTATCTTTCCCATAGATGCCTTTTCCTAAACATGCTATTCTGACCTGAAAACAATATACCACGTGTGGTCTGACTACACAGAACTCTAGCAAGCCTACTACTCTAGTCATGGACTCTATGTCTCTGAGTATAGCCCAAGAAGACATTATCTCTCTTGGATGCCATAATGTCATTTACTTATATTGAGCTTACAGTCAAATAAAACCCCCAAGTATTTTTGTAAGCAAACCACTTCTATCTAGTCATGCCTATCTTCATTATGCTGATTATAAAATCAAATGACTGGATGAGATGAAATGCTCTAACGTCTATGATTAAATGGCTTACCCAGAGATTAAACCCATAATTTTGGGCACATCTTTATTCTGTCTAACCAACTAAACTAAAATGCTTATCTGTATATACAGAAAAATTAGAATGATGTGCTTACAAAGTTCTCTTACAAAAAGATCGAGTCCTTTAGGTAGCTGACAAAAGACTCTAACTATGCAAAAAATAGCATTGTGGTCTTAAGAAAACCCCAGGAGGGAAAGTAGTGACTCATTTCCCAGTGCTATTTGAATAGCAAATGATGCCACTATTATCAAGTCTGACCTTACTAGTTAAGCATGAAGTATAGTGATTTAAGCAGGCTCTAGGAAGGTCACTCTGCCCCAAATCTTTCCCCCACATCTTATCCTACGTGATCGTCACAGTCCAGTAATGGACAGTAGGTAGAAATGACAAGACTCAACAGTTGATGAGATATGTGAGGTAAGAATGAGGATAACAGCAAGATTGTGAGTCTGGGTGAATGGGAGTACAGTGGTAGACTCAACAGGAATAGGAAATTTAGGAAAGAGAGGAAAGGTTAGGGGAGAAAGATAGACTGAATACTATGTAAATCCAGCACTGTGGTAAAGTAAAAATAATACCCAACTGAGTTCTAGGCCAGGAAGCTTTTTAGCTCATAAGAACTCCCTATTAAGTTTGCAAAAATGCTTAAGAGGCCAAGTGACTTGAGAGTAAGCTAGGCACCTTGACTGGTTTACTTCACAATTTTACAATCTAGAACTAGTTCTGATGAGAACCTGTAAACTAACAAAAGACAGAAAATACATTATTTGAAGCATAATCATGCCTAAGTGACTACTAGAAGCAGATCTTTATCCATGTCACAACCCATCCATCTTCTTTGTGACCTTAAGACCCTGTCCTGGGCCTTCTCTTCTTTGTTCTTTATTATCTCTCTGTCAGTGACTCAATCAGCTTTCATTATTTTAATTATCTTCTAAGCAAAGGACTACCAGATCTATACACACAACACTAACCTATACATCCAATACTAATCTTTCTCTTGAGCTCTAGTCCCATGTTATTAATAGACTACTGGTGATTTCAAATCGGATGTCTCCTAGGCAAACTCAACATGTCCAAAACAGAAAACTTTTCTTTTGATCGGCAGCTAGGTGTGTTAGTAGTCCACTGGACCTGGAGTCAAGAAGACCCGAGTTCAAATCTGGCAACAAATCTAGACACATACTAGATATGTGACCATGGACAAGATACTAAACATCTATTTCAGTTTCCTCACTGGTAAAATAGGGATATAATAGCACCTGCCTCCCAGGCTTGTTGTGAGGATAAAATGAGATAATATTTATAAAGTTTTGCAAATCTTAAAATGTGGAATCAATGCTAGCTATTATTATTGTTATTGTAATTATTATTATCATTATTATTCCCACCACCTTCCTTCTTCCAGATCAATACTGCTTCTAAACTCTCCAATTTCTGCTGAGGATACCACCATCTTTCTAGGCACTAAAGTTTAAAACCTTAAGAGTCATCCTTGACTGTTCACTTTCACCCCATATCTCTAATCACTTGGGAAATCTGGTCATTTCTACACTAACAATCTATCTCCCTATCCTACTTCAGGCTCTCTCTCTTTCACATCATGTCTCCCCTGGACTACAGCTAGACCCTCCCAATTAGGCTCCCTCCCTGCCCTCAGGCCCTCCCTTCTCCAGTTCATCTTCCATATAGCTGCCAAAGGGATGTAACCAAAGCATGGATCTGACCATGTCACTCTCTTGCTCAATTAAAACTCTAGGATCTCTCTATTTCCTCCAGGAAATATAAAATCCTTTGTTTGACATTTAAGTCTTTTCACAACCTGGCCTGTTCTTATCTTTCTAGCTTACTGAGACCTGGGAAAGACTTTGGCTTAAAAAAGGCCAAGGTCTCCTAGGTCATCTCCAGTTGGCCTGATCTATATCTTGCCATTGGACCCAGATGGCTCGGAGGCTGGTGACTTTGCACAGTACTCCTTAACTTGAATCTTATTCACTTGCAGGTCATGCATCACCTTCCTGATGTCATGGTCCTCTCTGAGAACAAAGGACAAACAATAATTACCACCACCACCACCATCCTCACACGCAACACTCCATCATCCATATCCACATCCTTGTATACACTGCCCCCATGTTGGGAATGCATTCCTTCCTCACCTCCACCTTTTAGGATCCCTAGTTTCCTTCTAAGCTCAGCTCAAGCACACACGTGCGCATGCGCACACACACACATTCATGTTCTCTCTCTCAAAGAATGTAAGCACCCTGAGGCAGAGACTGTTTAGTTTTTGTCTTTGTATCACTAACACCTAGCACTGTAGCAAAGGGCTTTAGTAAATGCTTATGGACTAATTTTTAGAATATTTTGCTTGGTGCTGGGGATACAAAGACAGAAACAAAACAATTCTTGACTCAAAAATGTTATATTCTATTGGTTATTTACAACGTACTTTATACCTACTAATCCTCACAACAGGCTGTGAAGTAGATACCAGAGGTATTATTAGCTCTATTTCAAAGGTAAAGAAATTGAAGTTCAGACAGGATGATCTGCCCACAGGCACACAACTAATAGGGCAGCTAGGTAATGCAGTGGATAGAGTGGCAGGCCTGGAATCAGGAACACTCTTCCTGAGTTCAGATCTAGCCTCAGATACTTACTTTGTGAGCCTGTGCAAATCACTTAACCTTGTTTGCCTCCAGTTTCCTCATCTGTAAAACGAACTGGAGAAGGGAATGGTAAACCACTCCAGCATCTTTGCCAAGAAAACTTAAAAAACTACAACAACCCAAATAGTAAGAGTTGAAGACAGATTATAAATGCTGGTATCTCCTGACTTCAAGTCCAACATTCTCCACCTTACAATGCTGCCTCTACAATTCTGTCCCTATAGTTTTCTGGGCCTACAAACAAAGACTTTAATCTAATCAGAAGCATGAAAGGTACTATTTAATGTCATTGTGCATTTTTCTAGCCACAGATAGGATGATATCCAAATCAGCTTCTCTCATTCTATTTTCACTTCTGTCTCCCATTCTCCACTTTACATTTTCTCCCCTTAGCCACACAGAGAAGACAACCTCAGTTTCACTTAACTGCCCCTTCTTCTATTCACTTCTTTGACTCTCTACCACGTAATCTGAAACAAAGTGGTTTTCACATGAGGATTTCAAGCTAGGACACAGAACAGGCCACTGCCATTCACTATCCACTGCTTTTCCAACAATAATAACAATAACATTAATATCTCACTTTTACAGTACTTTATAAAGTACTTTCTTTACAGTAAGACTATGAAATAATACAAATGCCACCCCCATTTTACAGAGAAAACTGAGGCTCCCCTTTTGACCCCAGTAGTAATTGTATATCAGGAAGCTAACACATGTTACAGAT